GTAGGCCTCCAGGTTGGCCCTGAGCTGCTGCTGCAGGCGTTTCTCCTCTTCTGCCAGCCTGCGGAGAGCTGCCTCTTGCTCACTCTCCACAAATTGGGTGAGCTGCTCAAACTCCGAGGCCAGCTGACTCTTAAGAATGCTTATTCTGGCCTCCTCGGTCAGTTGAAGGATCTTTCTATCATGGGTGACTTCTAGCTTCTGCACCTTTGCCAACCGCTTCTCCAGTGACTTGATGTACTTGAGCCTTTGTCTGTGATAGGATGTGGCCTCCTCCACAGAACACTGAAGATCAAGACACCGGGCACACAGGGGACACAGCAGCGCCTGGTCGTCCTCGCAGAAGAGGCTCATCCCCTGCCTGTGGTCTTCATGCCTGTGCTCCTCTCCCCGTGCCATCTTGCTGCTCCCGGAGCTGTGCAGGCGCTTGGCCAGGTCCACCAGCCTGCCCAGCTGGGCGTTGGCACTGATACGCATCTCCTGGCGGGCCAGCTGGCACACAGGAGAAGGGAATGTGTCCTGCAGGTCCTTCCATGACATGCGGATGCAGGAGTCACAGAAGTTGTGGCCACAGTCGGTGGTGACGGGGTCATTGAGGTAGTCCAGGCAGACTGGACAGAAGCATTTTGACTGCATTTGGCCAGGATTGCTGACACCTCCACCATCCTCAGGTGTGGGAAGGGCAGGACTGGGGTAGTGTGGGCTGTCTGAATGTGGGACTCCTCAGGTGATTTCCTGTCAAAAAAAGTTACACCTTCAGACCTCTATCGCATACTCAATGTCTTTCTCAGTGAGGGTCCCTCTCTGATGACTTATCATACTGCCTGATCCACTGTTGTCCAGTGACTCAAGTCACAAGGAGCAGCCTGTCATGAATAAATGTGGATATGAAGAGAAGTCGATCTCACCAACTCTCTTGGCCAGCAATATCTACAGCTTTAAAAGAGCTGATGTGTTCTGAGGAAGAGAAGACCCTCCCAAGGAAGTAGGAGAATTAGCTTTCCAGGGCCCTGCTCACCGTCCTCAAGGCAACCAGATTCTCCTTCTCCATAATCACTCAAAGATGCCAACTCTGTAAGGCTTCATGGAATAGAACCCTGAATATTTAGTGACAATCCCCAGCTGTGACCAAAGTCCTGCAGATGGGGAAATGACTCAACGTAATCCAGGAAGATAGGTGCTAAGGTATAGTATTTCATATAAGCAAACAGATATCAGATCCTCTATGAAGTATTTCCTCCAATAAAAATAGTGTTCTCATAGAACAGACACTAGGAATGGAAATTATGCTCTCCCTCTGCCTCCCATAAACCCACAGTCCTTATTGGTTATTTTCTGGATCAGTGACCCGGGTCTGGCTGAGTCCTTGGTAGTGTTGAGCTGACTCTCCCTGAAGGACTGTGGAAGTCGGCCTGGCGCTGTCCTGTGATTGACCTGCGTTTTTATATTCTGTTGGATGGGTGGGGCTTTAGAGAAAAGACCAGTCAGAAGGAAGGGAGCTGCATTAATCCTGATAGGATACTCTGAAAGAAGGGATTAAGTAGTACTTAGCCAGGTGGAAGGGGTAGGCCACTAATCCTGAAAATCCAATCTCCACAGTGAATTTCCTACCTTTATCCTTCTCATGTTTTTTTTTTTTTTTTTTTTTTTTTTTTTTTTTGCTTTTTGGGTCACACCTGGTGATGCACAGGGGTTACTCCTTTCTCTGCCCTCAGGAATTACCCCTGGCTGTGCTCAGGGGACCATATGGGATGCTGGAAATTGAACCCGGGTCAGCTGCGTGCAAGGCAAACGCCCTTCCCGCCATGCTATCACTGCAGCTCCACCTTCTCATGTTTCTTAATCCCATACTGGTTGAGAAAGAAATAGTAGTACCATGCTGTGTTTCAAGTTCAATCTTCCTTTCTGAAAGTGCAACTGAATTTTTAAGTTTCTACTTCTCAACTGAGATTCAATTCCACTGCATATGGTCCCCCAAGCACTGCTACGAGTGACCCCTGAGCACAGAGCGTTGAGTAACACCAGGTACAGCTAAAATCAGAACAAATGTTGCACATTCTCAGAATCTTTAGGCTCCCTGGAAGGCTTGGAATTATTTTTCCTCTAACAGGCAAACAAATAAATAAATAAAACATTCTGGCTTTGTTCAAGCTATGGGATGCATGATGGTTGGCATGTCAAAGTTTTCTCCTATATCATCCACAGAACTGTGAATGTCTCTGTCTTGACCTCAAAATTTTCTTGATCATTTCCTAATCACTGTGGATTGGTGGGGCGTTAAAGGAAATCCCCACCATGTTCTGGTTCTGTTATTATTTGCTTTTTTACAGGATATACCTGGGGAAAGAGAGGTCAAAAGAAGCAAGAGAAAATATCTTTCAGTGGTTCGATGAACTGTTAAAAAGCTTTTCTTATAAGACCTGGAGCGATAGGACAGTGGGTAGGGCATTTGCCTTGCACAGGGCCGACCCAAGTTCGATTCCCAGCATCCCATATGCGCCCATATCTCTTAAGTCTCTACTTCAAGATTTTAATAGGCACTAACTCAAACGCTTGGGATTTTAATATCCTGAGAACTCATCTTTAGTCATGGTTGGCCGAAAGATGACGATAAAGTCCGACATAAGAGCACAATGCCTGGAGACCTCCAAAATTGGTGTGGAGTACAAGCAGGTATGTAGAAGACCATGAGAGAAACTCTTAAAGAGACTTCAAAGGAGGCCTTTATTCTTAAGCAAGAATCACTGTCATGAGTACTTGTGTTATAGAAATCAGATGGGCCTACACCAGAATTGGTAGAAGTTGGCCAAAGAAGCACAATCAGCACAGTTGAAAGTGCCAACTGCCTGGACACACATATGCCTTCAAGGTCCCAGTGCTGATCCTCCAGAGTTCAGCCTTTCTGCGTGGTGCCAGCTTTCGTCAAGCCAGTCAGGGGGAATCTATGCCCAAATTATTTTGAAGCATCAATGATGATGAAGTCACCTATCTTTTTTGGAGGAATGGGGTGCAGTGAAGGAAAGTAAAAAAATATTTTTTCTTTTCTTTTTTTAAAATTGAATTACCAAACTTACAAAACGACAGCCATTTGAGATTGAGTTTCAGGCATATATTGTTCCAACAATGCCTTCACGAGTGCTCACTACCTTCCACCAATCTATCTGATTTTCCTCCCACCCCCAGCCTGCTTCTGTGTCAGGTACATTTCCCTCCCTCCATTGAAGGACAAAAATCTTTATTCGTCTGTGTATGGTGTGGTTGCTTGGATATCAAAGATTTTGGGTGGAAGTGATAGCCTCCATTTTTGTGTTCAAATTTACTGAGAAGTCATTAGTGTTAATATGTTACAGTTGCTTAACTGAAGCAAAATTATAAAGTGATTCCTTTACAACTGTTAACCACCAAAAGGAAAACCGAAGGGCAGATGCAGCAGTCTTTTGAAAAATAATACAAGCTCTTTTAAAAAAACACACAACAGGTCACACAGAAAGAACCCAGGGTAGAGTGTGTAGTACGAGGACTAATGCCATGCTAGAGAACCTCTCTTTATTTTGCCCCATTTCATGTTTTCCTCCTCATGGCAGTAAGACCCAGGGCTGGCCCTTCATCTTGAGGACTGGACTTACGATTCTGGGGGCAGATCTTTCTTCTGGGGCTGTTAAATGATTATCAACACCTGCTACTCCTTAAACACCCCATAAGTAAGTGGGGGAGGGGGCTTCTCCTGCTTTTTGCTCCTATGAAACTGGCTTCTTCCCTGTCACATTTCTTGCCCTCCTGCAAACCAGAGGAGCTGCAGATAGGGGACTCTGGTTTGGGGGCTTGTCTAGAACAACTGGAGAGCAGAATAGGGACTGACTCTGGCTTGTGGGGGTGAGGGGCGCTTACCAGTTCATGCAAGTCCGGGATGGGTAGCTTACAGAATCTTAGGTCAGGCCTACTAGGGCAGGAGATGAAATGAGCACATCCAGGTTGTCTGGGTCCCCAACCATTGGGAAAGAGAGAAAGCAAACTGGAGCCTGGCACAGGTTGGGGTGGGTGGAGATGGGGGCCACTGGGCCGTGGAGGATCCTAGAGAGAAATCTGATACAGGGCCTTGAGTAGGAAGTCATTCCTATCTGTGTCCGCAGGTTTCTCTAGTTCCCTATCTTGTTCCTTTGTGAGTGCAGGAATGATCAGAATAGGTATCCCCAAGTAAATGAGTTCATCGAAAAGCAAGTAGCTAAGATGTTGGTGGTTACTGGTTTATATGAGAGGAGGGTCACTGTCACTGTCCTACCATTGTTCATCGATTTTCTCGAGCAGGCTCAGTAACGTCTCAATCTTGAGACTTTGCTGTTACTTTGTTTGTCATATTGAATACGTCACGGGTAGCTTGCCAGGCTTTGCGGTGCCAGTGAGATATTATTGGTAGCCTGCCAGGTTCTCGGGGAGGGGCAGAGGAATCAAACTTGGCTCAGCCAGGCCAGCTGCACACAAGGAAAATGCCCTACCGCTGTGCTATCGCTCCAGCCTTTGAGAAGGGGGTAGCACAACTCAAGATTTTCTATCCCTAAGCAGGTAGGGTGTTTGCCTTGCATGAGGCCGACCTGGCCGACCCAAGTTCAATTCCTCCACCCCTGTCGGAGAGCCTGGGAAGCTACCAAGAGTATCTTGTGCTCAAGGCAAAGCCTGGCAAGCTACCCGTGATGTATCCAGTATGGCAAACACAGTAACAAGTGTCAATATTGAGACATTACTGGGCCCGCTGGAGCAAATCGATGGAAAATGGGAGAAGAGTGACGTGAAACTTTTCTCCTCTCCAAAAATCTTGCTAAGTAGTCCAGGAAGGTTTGGCTCAAGGGGAAGAAAAAAATGTGAGCCATATAGAATTTCAGTAGGCAGACAACAAATATGAACCAGGAACTTATAAATCTTCTAAACTTTATTTATAAACCTTATAAACAGTCTTTCTAAAAATAATCACTCAAACACACTCAAACACAAATAATTTTCATAGTAGTTCACCATTCCTTTGTGGTCAAACATATTGAAATTGATTTTGAAGAGGGTCCAATAGCAAAATATGGCATCAGTTTCCCTGTGAATTTATCAGTGATTTTACACAAATATAATCTGTTATTCAAACGATAAATGGAAAGTTCTCCCAGTTCATAGTCTAGAAATACACCAAATTGCATACCTGGGTCTGCTTGTTTAATGTCCATGTCCTGTTCAGTGTTCTTTGCAGTCTGTAAAAATGCCCAATAGCCATTTTCAGGGGTTGGTAGTATCCCCGAATTTCCGCAGAATGATTTTTTACAAACACCTATGGACCATTCACCAACCCCTGTGACTTCTACTTGCCAAAAATGCCTGCCCCCATCAAAGCCCTCACAGCTGAGCACAGCTGGGTAAGGAGTAAATGTCTGGGAGTTGTCAAGAAATTGCGGTAGACTTGTTGTAGATATACTTTTCCTGTCTTTGGAGATAATCAGACTTGGATGTGCAGTTTCAGGATCAAGTGTCAAATCTACCTGGAACGTGCTGATCATTGTGTGCAGACCAAAATAATGTGGAGGGACGGCTAAACTCTCTGTCTTGAGTTTATACAAAAAGACTGCTGGGAGGGTTAAGTCTTTGTGCCGACTTTGAATACTTTTGATGCTGGATAGCAACTCTAGGTTGGGCAGCAAATACTTTTTTCTTGCGTCACTTAGAAGATTTTTATGTGTGTCCATGTGACTTGAAATATAGCTTTTGTTTTCGGTGAGTTTATCCTTCTCTTTGTTCTCTTCCTTAATTAATCTGGCATCACTTGCAAAATGTTCCCTTCTCAAGAAAAATATGAATTCTTTAAATTCAGAATCTAATTCTGTCTTCTGGTGTTCCACCTTCCGACTCTCTTCAAGAAATTTTGAAATTTGTTTCTTACAATCTGTTTCAGTGGTTTCAATCTTCCTCTTCAGGAGCTCCATGTAGCTTCTGAGCTTCTTTCTTTGACTCACTGCAGCTCTCTCAGCAGGGATGAGGTAGTGATCCTGGTGGTCATGGGCGGTCCTGCACTGGGGACACAAGAGCTCAGAATCCTCCTCACAGAACATGTCCAAGACCTCCTGGTGCTTCTCACATAGTTTCTGTTCCTGCCATTTCCTTTTATTCTCTCTGATGGGGAGCTGATTAACGATGTCAGTGATGTGACACAATTGGTTGTTTCTCTTCAAGTTCCTGTCAGGGCAGTGGTGGAGGCAGACAGGACAGGGGAAGATGTCCTGTAGGTCAACCCAGCGCTGTTGAATGCAGGAGACACAGAAGTTGTGGCCACAGGCTAGAGTCACTGGGTCTCTCAGGTTATCTAGACAGAGAGGGCAGCTGGCTTCTGATTGGAGTTCGGCCAGGGAAGCGGAAAAAGCCATTCTTGGAAGAAGGATGTCTGGAGATAAGTCTTTTAAAATATAAGTATTCTGAAGATAGATCTTTTAGAATGATTTTTTTCTTTTCTTTTTGACTTTTTCTTTTTGTTTGTTTTGGGCAAACCTGGCAATGCTCAGGGGTTACTTTTGGCTCTGCACTCAGAAATTACTCCTGGCAGAGCTGGGGGACCACATGGGATGCTGGGGGTCGGCTGTATGCAAGGCAAATGCTCTATCCGCTGTACTATCACTCTGGCCCTGGAATATAAGTCTTCTGAAGATAAGTCTCCCAGAATATAGTTCAATCCTCCAGTAACCGAGCTGTAAGAAGAAAATATATGCTCATTACTCACTTTCCTTAAGTAAACTGAACACTTTTTCCAATTTTCTTGCAAGCTCTAACAAATACTCATTTAATTCATTTTTCTCATACAAATGCACTTATTCTGACAGAAAAAGTAATATAAGACAATGTAGCGTTGAGCATCTAATTGCTACAAGACTTCCTTTTAATAATAACAATAATAATAATAATAATAACCTGGAGCGATAGCACAGCGGGTAGGGTGTCTGCCTTGCACGCAGCCAACATGGCCGACCCGAGTTCGATTTCTCTGCCCCTCTCGGATAGCCCGGCAAGCTACCGAGAGTATTCAATATGCGAGACACAGTAACAACAAAGTCTCCAATGGAGACGTTACTGGGCCTGCTCGAGCAAATCGATGATCAACGGGAGGGCCTTTACCTTTTACCTTTAATAACCTTTATATAGGACCCACAAGAAACTGGAGTTAGCTCAGAAGTGTTCATAGAATGCTTTTAAAAAGCATCTTTGAGTGTCTGGAGCAATAGCACAGCGGGTAGGGTGTTTGCCTTGCACATAGCCGACGCGGGTTCAATTCCGAGCATCCCATATGGTCCCCCGAGCACCGCCAAGAGCAAGTCCTGAGTACATGAGCCAGGAGTAACCCCTGTGCATTGCCTGGTGTGACCCAAAAAGCAAAAAATTAAAAATTAAAAAAATATAAAAAGCATCTTGGATCTTAGAGATTGGTGAATGTAGGCAGATTCTGGGGAGAATGCAGTCAGTGATGTGTAAGAGAGAGATCTAGCCCTGACTGTCACCCTATGGTCCTAACCAAAATGAATTCCTCTCCATTTGAAGTTTGATATGGGGTCTAAGAAGCAGGAACCATGAGTGGAAAGAACGTAGAGTGAAAACAATAATAGGAGGTTAGGGATATTTGGAGTAATCCCTGAAGTAACATTGTAGACTCAGAAATTTTGATAACTCAGGTATTTGAAATGTAGGGAAGAAAAAGATAAGAAATCTCAGATATTTGAAATGTAGGGGAAAAGACAGAAAAGAGTAAGATAAAATTTGATTTGGTTAGAAGAGGGGCAACACAATAATGGTGAGCTCTAATATATTACTAGACAGCATTTTAGGCAGATGAAACAATACTATTATGATAACCACAACAAATCCTCCAATACAAATGTAACTCCAGCTTTCTATTTCTCAGCCTTTTCAAGCAAAACTCAGACCACACATTAGTTCATGCGTAAATTCTAATTTTTTTGATAATTAATGGATAGAACCCGTTTTAATGTCAATAAATCATAATAAAGTAAAAGTAAAAGTAAAGGCCCTCCCGTTGAACATCGATTTGCTCGAGCGGGCCCAGTAACGTCTCCATTGGAGACTTTGTTGTTACTGTGTCTGGCATATCAAATACTCTCGGTAGCTTGCCAGGCTCTCCGAGAGGGGCGGAGGAATCGAACTCGGGTCGGCCATGTTGGCTGCATGCAAGGCAAACGCCCTACCCGCTGTGCTATCGCTCCAGACACTCAAAGATGCTTTTTAAAAGCATTCTATGAACACTTCTGAGCTAACTCCAATTTCTTGTGGGTCCTATGGAAAGGTTATTATTATTATTGTTATTATTGTTCCACTTCCAATCCCTTTTTGGTTCCTGACCTGTGACAACTTAACATTACTTTCAGTCTCTTCTGACCAGATTAGCACCCCCACCCGTACCACCCAACCTTATTGTACAAGACCCATCTGTGAATCCATACAGACCATCTCCCATAACTATAATCCCTTGATCAATCCACTTCCAAGGTGATCATGTCGTCCTGCTTACCTTGAACAGTTCAAGGATATTTGCTCTGCGTTTCTTCAGGGCTGGTCTCTGACAGATCTCTTCGAAGACAATAGGACACCAGGCTGATAGCAGTTTGTGCTCTTCTGTTGTGAGCAGGGCATTTATAGGCAACTAGGTGGGTCTAGGACATTGTTGACACTCTTTAAGGTGTGGCGGATCCTCCCCCAGGAAGGAGGACAGAACCAACAGGAGCTAAAAGGATATTCTGAGTTTCTGATTAGTGGTGAGGCACAGAAGAATCTCTCAGGATTGAACCAGTACCAGATGTCGTTGTGCTGTGCTAAAATGCATGTTTTCATTTGCACTGAATTCCATTGCTAAGGAAGAAAGTGAAATCTGAAAGTCTATGTCAGGATGTTCATTTTGCCCCCATTGAATTATTCATTGGACACAGCTTTTATCTCTCTTCATAATCAGCAGTTTCCTGTTGCCTAGAGGTCTTTGAAAAATTGTTTTCCATCTAATAGGTGAAAGATATTAGTTGATTTAAAAATAATCTCACCAAGGGCTGAGGAAATAGTACAATGGGTAGAGAGCTTACCTTGCACACTGCCACCCAGGTTTTGATCCTGGCATCCCGTATGGTTGCCAAGCACTACCAGGAGTAATTCATGAGTGCAGAGACAGGATTAAACTCTGAACATCGCTGGGTGTGGCCCCAAAACCAGAATAAATAGATTAATAAATTAAAGAACTTCAGCTGCTATACTAAAAATCCTGATTTTCTAGTCTCTACATCTTTGATAGCCATTTTGCTGAAGAGCAAATTTAGAAATCTCTGGAAGACTTTTTGAGTTCTCTCTTTTATAAAGTTTCAGAAATGAATCCAACGGCAAGACCAGGAATCAGTTTGAATTTTTGGGAGGCCACACCCAGCAAAGCTCAGGCGTTACTACTGGCTCTTGGGCTCAGGAATCACTTCTGGAGAAGCCTTGGGATCCATGTTCAAGACAAGTGTGTTGGAACACTGTACTGTATCTCCAGCCCCTCAGTTTTCATTTCTATGTCAGCAAGAGTCCCTTGGCCCTTTTTTGCCTAAAATTTCTCTCTGCTTCCGCCTATTCAGCTTCCGCATGGTGGCTCCATTGTTTCATAAAAAAATATATATATATATATATATGCTATGTCAGTTTCTGCACACAGTAACATAGGAGAGAATTAAAATTTATACTTTGAATATTTGGATGGAGCAATAGCATAGCGGGTAGCACGTTTGCCTTGCATGCAGCCAACATCACTGACCTGAGTTCGATTCCTCTCTCCCTCTCAGAGAGCCTAGCAAGCTCCCGAGAGTATCTCGCCCGCACAGCAGAGCCTGGCAAGCTGCCCGCGCACAGTAACAACAAAGTCTCCAATGGAGACGTTGGGCCTGCTCAAGCAAATCGAGGAACAACTGGAGGGCCTTTACCTTTACCTTTACCTATATACAGTAACAAGTCTCACAATGGAGACGTTGCTGGGCCCACTCGAGCAAATCGATGAACAATGGGAGAACAGTGACAGTGATATTGTACTCAGGATGATGTTAGTATAAACATGAACGTTAAAGGTGCCTATAGTGTGGGCTCAGAAGGAGATGAGGAATACACTATTTGAAACTAATTTGGTCCCCTGAGTGATCCTTGCTTAGGCATGAAGTTGGAAGTCAGCCCTAACCTGCTTGTGAATAAACAAACCAAAACAAAACAAAACAAAAAAAAACAGAAAACATAATGGAAAGAAAAAAAATGTTTTCTAACTAGACTCATTATGTGCATGTATATGCAATATGAATAAAATAATATTAGATATAAAACCCTCAAAACATACAAAATAGGCAATCACAGTTCCACCACACAGAATTAAAGATAGGGTGTACTGTCTATTCAGATTTTTTGTCTATGTGGAAATGTCAGCCACTAGTTAAATATCATACTTACATATTCTTCCAAAAAATTGGAAATATTTTATCATTCTTCCTTTCATAAAAGTAATGTTTTTGGTATCATTAAAATTAGTCAACATTGATTCTGTAACATCAAAATTGATGAAAGTCAAATCTTCCAACCTCACAGATAATGTATTATATAATAACAATTGTGAACTTTTGCAATGCTTTCAGAATACTTTACTGTTGCACAGAAGACCTGAATTATCTTTTACATTTAAAAAATTTTTTGTTTTATTTACAACAAATAAAGTTAAAGGCCCTCCTGTTGATTGTCGATTTGCTCGAGCGGGCCCAGTAACGTCTCCATTGGAGACTTTGTTGTTACTGTGTTTGGCATATCAAATACTCTCGGTAGCTTGCCGGTCTCTCCGAGAGGGGCGGAGGAATCGAACTCGGGTCGGCCATGTTGGTAGCACAGCGGGTAGGGCGTTCGCCTTACAAGCGGCCAACATGGCCGACCCGAGTTCGATTCCTCCGCCCCTCTCGGAGAGCCCGGCAAGCTACCGAGAGTATTCGATATGCCAGACACAGTAACAACAAAGTCTCCAATGGAGACGTTACTGGGCCTGCTCGAGCAAATCGACGATCAACGGGAGGGCCTATACCTTTACCTTTTACTGTGATTTAAAAAAGTCATTCTTAGTTGAGTTTCAGGAATACAGTGTTCCAACAACCAATCCCATCACCAATGTCAACTTTCCTCAATCAATATTCACAGCTTTCCTCCAGTTGCTATAAAGCTAAGAAAAAATGGTTATCAATATCTATGCTAAATGATTATATCCAGCACTGATAAGTATATATTTATTAATACTTAGATTCAAGAACTGTAACAGTAGTTTCCTTTCAAATCTATGTAACAGGGGCTGGAGAGGTGGTAAGGTGCTTGCCTTCCATGTCGC